AAAAAAAAAAAAAAGAAATTCAACAAGAGATAAAAGCAGACTCTCTCCCCAGCACCTCACTCCATCTTCTTCGTCTCTTTTTCTTCTTCTTCCTTCTCTTCAAACACACGATCCACCTGAAGTCTCTGTATACTACTCTTGTGATCTGCACCTCCCTGTCCAGATTCATCCAATATCGTTACCCATCCCGCCTTCGCCTCTGGATGGGCATCACAGAAGGGAAGATACGGTTTAATATCCAGAACGGGTGTGCCGTGCAGTAAGTCGTGATCCGCAATGTGAACTTCTAATCCCCGAACCGCAACAAGTCGTACACATGAGAGACCAATGAAGTTTGGTCGATGTGGACTTCGAGTTGCAAATACACCACGCAGTTCACTATCCCGTGGGGGTATAAGCATTGTTTTGAATCCAGAAGATCGTTCCGCCCCTTGTCGTTGCCGTCGATGTTGTTTCTCTCCCATTATAGGTGCTTCTTCTATGGTATCGGTTTCCTCTCCAGTATGAGTGGCATATGAAAAAGAAAAGAGCACCCAAATAAACTCAAAACCATTTAAATCTCGTACAGCATTTTCAAGACCCACGCGTAATTTTATTACAGCCGTCTGCGGTGTAAAGTTCTCCGTATTGGGTTGTCGCGGTGCCGCAATGTGTGCTCGCATAAGACTATGAACCACACCCACACCACAAATACTGTACGGCTGAAGTCTCTCTGGACTTAACACTGTACGAACTAATCGATTGGCATGCAGAACTGCACGCTGAAAGGCCGCCTCATACGCAGAAACATCATGTGATTTTCGTTGTAAACGTTGTTCAATACATTCCTCTACATCTTCCGGTGTTTTTAAACGATCAAAAAAGTACACTCGACTAGCATTAGAAGTAATATGATCTCGCGGTGGTGTTTCCCCAGATGAGATGAGAGACGCTGGTGGGTCAAAGAGACGTGCCGTGATGCTGTTGCTTGTCCCTTCTGCTTTTATAATTTCTGCTGGCCAATACGGCAATCCAGCCGGTCGTATCCAAACAATATCACTCGGTAGAAAATAATGAGGTCTTATTCCAAATCGCTTTGGGCGTTCTCTTTTTGTGTTCGTATTATCATTTGTATTCGTGTTGATGTTGGGGATAGTACTCATCATCTTATCACTATTGCTATCCCGACGTTCACGTTTAGGGGGACGATTTAGATTTGAAGGAACTTCAGTGTTGATCTCGTGAGTCATGCGTGTATGGATCTCACAGCAAACAAACAAACAAAGAAACAAAGAAAAAAATAAGTGAATGTAATGGGTAAACTTAGTTTACAAAAAAGGGAAACAACCAAGTGGTAGCCAAATTCCTTCTTTTTATTTTATTTATTTCTCTAGTGTTTATGCGTTGAATTACTCTCCCCTACAAATGCCCTAAAAAACATGATAAAACAAAACACATTGGCGAAAGAGAAAAAAAATAAATAAATAAATAAATATCCATAAAATCCGAAAGCAAAATAATTTCATAAACAATAATATTTCAAGCGAATGGATTACTGAAAACATAATTCACACTATTTCTCTATCTCTCAAACTGCTGGTGTTTATGATGTTCGGACATATGTTAACATCAGGTCCACAGAAGAGAGTTGATGAAATCGTCAGTCAAGTCGCCTCGAAGGGAAAGATATAAAACCCCCCAGCAATACTCTTATCTGTTTTGTTTTGTTTTTCTTTTGATCAAAATAAATAAATAATAATAAAAAAAAACACACACACATAAAAAAGAGAAATAATAATAAAAATAATAATAATAATAATAATAATAATAATAATAATAATAATAATAATAATAAACGATCCTGTCGTACCGTATTTTTCTTTTCTATTTTTTTTCGACTTCTTTTATTCTCTTGGATATTCTCATTTGTTTTTACTCACATTTTCCTTTTTTTTGCCTTCAAAATAAAATAAAAAAGACTTTTTCTTTTTCTTTTCTTCTTCTACATTCTCTCTCTCTCTCTCGTTGAAGAACTCAACTAATTCCCTGCCGGGATATTGTGAAGAACTGTCATACTCTGCTCTGCGGCCTCATCGTAAACATCCACTTTATATCCCGCCTCAGCCCACCACGCTTCTTTCTCTGCCTTATTGGCAAATCGTTTGTAGTAGTGAACCTCATTAAATACAGGTACATCCTTTAGTTTGGTAAATCCAAGTTTCTTTGTAAAGAATTCAATACTGGAGTTATTCGTATTTAATATTTTCGCAACAAAAGCCGTGGCATTAAGTTTATCGAGTGCATAACTCAATAATAACCGTACGGCTTCTCCACCCATTCCACGTCGTCGAAAAGAAGGTTCCGCTACCATCACAGAGACCTCAAAGCATCGTTCATCATTCTCATTACTATTCTTAATAATCTCATTATTATTATTATTATTATTATTATTATTATTATTATTATTATTATTATTATTATTATTAGTAGCCTCATTACCAGGACTATTACTAATAGTATTTCCAACAACATCTGATGTTGTTGTTGTTGTTGTTGGTGTTGGTGAAGCACATTTCACATCATCAGAGTTAATAGAAAAGAGATTACAATCACCAATCATAACGTACGTTCGACCAATTTGACGTTCCTCTTTACGAATAAAAGTACGAGGAGTGACTGCGGGTTCTGAGCGGGTTCTCATAAACGGCGTGGATATTTGTGGTTCTTCCATCATAAGTCTTTCAGCAGAAGATCTTCTTCCAAGATCTATATCTACTTCTGTTATAACTGTATTGACGTATTCCTCCTCTTCTTCATTTTCACTATCATCATTATCATTATCATTATCCTCCGCCTCCCAATCTTCCAGCTGGGATGTATTTTCCTCTTCATCATCCGCCAATGGATCCATCCGTGTAACTGGAGGAGTGGGTTCCTCTAAAATCATAGAGAGTGGTGCGAGAAGAATAAAGGTGAGTTTATCCTCCGCACAGAGCCACTCCTGTTGATTGGCGTATTCCTCTGCGAGTGTGAGGGGTTCACTTGCGGTGGCCTGCAGTAATTCAGTGTTCGTCATCCACTGATGATAGCGTGGGACGTGCTGCGCCAAGTACGGCACTAAACGCAGCTGATGGCCACTCACCAACACATGTTCATTGTTCATTCACACGGCTGTAAATAAAAGATTATATGCACGAGAAGTGTGTGTGTGTGTGTACATATAAATAAAATAAAAAATAAAAAAGGGGAAGAGAGAAACATATATATATATATATATATATATATATATA